TGAGGAAACCCATGTGGGGAGCTAGACTTACTAAACGTGAGACCCCCATATCATTTACATGCCCTTTTGGTGCTAAGAATCTAATTCCCTTTTGTAATTATCTTTAGTCATCACATAAGTTCACATTAACCTTTAATAGGCCCTTATGTAGACATCACACCATAATAGCTCATATGTGTTCAGAAGTGAGTAACAATTCTTTCACTTTAGAGACACTTAGCAAGTGAGTAAACCTTTCACTTTACATTACACTACAATCATGAGAACTACCTTTCAATCATATAGCTAACATACCATAACATACATACATACTTCATAGCTAATTCAAGTGTAGAGGGTTAAGGATGAGGAAAATAGGTCATCAACACCACAACAACATATTAGGTACAACATCATTACAATCTAAGTAATTCACCTTTCATACTTGAGTTCAAGGAAGAACCAACCTTCATACCTTCTCGCCCTTCATGGGACATTCATACTTAAATTACCCATCCGTTCATAACCAATACATAATACAAAGTAATTCAGGAAGTAATACATAATCAACATCAATATAAGCAATTGACATATTCCCTTCATAGCCTTCAAGGCTTCATTCAAAGACTCAACCCTAATTTCATGGAAATTATACATAACCTAGGGTAGAATCATCATACAAACATGAATTACATAACATCACATTCAGTTCATAGCCTTCAATCAATATCCAACACAAACTAGGGATAGAATTAGGAAAAGAAGGAGAAACATGGGTCTCATGGGAAATTCTTCAAGAACCTCCAATACAACATAAATTCATCCATAATTGTTCATATAACTTCAATCAAAGTCAGTTTATAACATCAATTTCACTTTAGAAAGAAGACCCACGTTTTTTGGATTGAAACCTAGAAATTGGAGATTTTGAAATTCATCTTGAAGGGACCTTTTGGGGAAAGGAATCCCAAGAGTGATAAGCAACCATACCTTAGTTGATTCCTTTGGGAATCAATGGAGAAACTCCAAGCTAATTTTGGGAAAGAACCTTGAAACCCTAGCTCCAATGTATTCTTCTTTCTTCTAAGGTTTTTTAGAGAGAGAGTTTAGAGAGAAGTGGGAGAGTTTTGATTTCTATAGGGTGTTGTGTATAATGACCAAAAACTCATGAATTTAGACTTAAAAACCAATATATAATTAACCTCTAAAATACCCAAAACACCCCTACTTAAATTGGACTTAAAGGAAAAGTCCCAAAAATCCTCATTTAAATGGTCCCCAACAGGGACCACGGCCACCCTTCTTGGGTCGTGAAAGTGCACCACGGGCCGTGGTGTGGGAGGCAGTAGCTCCCCTTTCGTGCACAAGCCAACACTTGGCCAAGGCAAGATCACGGAGCCTCCCACGATCCGTGGTGAGTACCACAGTCCCTGGTGATGGCCCTGGTCATGACTTGGCCTTGTGGAGGC